TATGTTCTCTCCCTTACTAATTAACTCAACGAATAAAAATAACAATAATAGTAATAATAATAATGACAATAATAATAATATTAATAATAATAAAAATGATAAAAATAATAATAATAATAATAATAATGATAATTTTTTCCTCTTGCTTTGGAATAACTCCAGTGCATTAGCGAATTGTGTGACTTGAAAGACGTGTGTATTTGTGTGTGTGTGTGTGTGTGTGTTTATTTATGTGTGTATGTGTATGTAATCAATCAATCAACCAATCATTCAATAAACCAATCATTCAATAAACCAATCATTCAATAAACCAATCATTCAATAAACCAATCATTCAATAAACCAATCAATCAATAAACCAATCAATCAACTAATCAATCAATCGACTATCAACCAATCAATAAATTGATAATTAATCAGCTATTCAATAAATCAAGCAATCAACCAATCAATCAATTAATTGATCAATCAATCAGCTATTCAATCAATCAGGCAATCAACTAATCAAGCAATCAATCAATCAGCTATTCAATCAATCAAGCAATCAGCTATTCAATCAATCAAGCAATCAGCTATTCAATCAATCAAGCAATCAACCAATCAATTAATTAATTGATCAATCAATCAATCAATCAATCATTCAACCAGGTTGACAACGTCATCCTTCTAGACAGGTATAACCCACGCAGGCAGATCAGGGGAACGTTCTACATAACATCTACCCATTCAATTTTCGTGGACCCAGATGGCAAGAAGGAAGTCTGGGTGGGTTTTGATGGCGACCGCAATGATGGTGGGGTGGTAATGGTGATGATGATGATTATGATGATGATTATGATGATGATATTGGGGTGATGATGGTGATGATTATGATGATATTGGGGTGATGATGGTGATGATGATGATTATGATGATGATATTGGGGTGATGATGGTGATGATTATGATGATGATATTGGGGTGATGATGGTGATGATTATGATGATATTGGGGTGATGATGGTGATGATGATGATTATGATGATGATATTGGGGTGATGATGGTGATGATTATGATGATGATATTGGGGTGATGATGGTGATGATTATGATGATATTGGGGTGATGATGGTGATGATGATGATTATGATGATGATATTGGGGTGATGATGGTGATGATTATGATGATGATATTGGGGTGATGATGGTGATGATGATTATTATAATGATGATATTGAAAACTTGAAAACATTCACTTTGTTACAACTGGCACACATTTACAGATTTTTACACATACACACACACACACACACATTTACACATACACACACACACATTCACACATTTACACACACACAATACATATTTACAGATTTTTACACATACACACATATTTGCAGATTTTTACACATATACACACACACATTTACATATTTTTACACAAACACACACACACATATTTACAGATTTTTACACAAACACACACGCACAGATCTCACACATGCATATCTCAACCGCGGAGAAATTGCCCCCACTGAAATCCGGATATCCGGTTCAAATCCGCGGAAAGAACTTCATCAACGTCACGTTCGTTATCCCGAGAGAGAAGGATTCAGTTGAAGTTTTGGGAACGCTGAGTGTGCTATCGAGACCTGGTTGGTTGGATGGTTGGTTGATTAGTTAGTTGGTTAGTTGGCTGGTTGGTTGGTTAGTTTATTGGTTGGTTGGTTGATTTGTTTATTGGCTGGTTGGTTGGTTGGCTGGTTTGATGGTCGGTTGGCTGGTTCTTTTCTCATTCATTCAATCATTCATCTATCCATTCGTTTATTCATCCTTTCATTCATCCATCCATCCATCCATCTTCCAGCATCTCTGGATGACTTGTACGCGTTCAACTATAGTGGCTCCAACCCTGATCTCAAGAGTGAAGGTAAACAATGACACACACACACAGATACACAGACACACATTCTCACAGTCACACACACACACACACGTACACACACAGACACTTACACACGCACACACACACACACACATACAAACACGCAAATATAGGTTGGGATTTTTTCGACTTGCAGTCCGAGTACCTTCGTCTGGGTGTTCCTAACGAGAGTTGGTCCACCAGCTTCATCAACAAGGAGTACGAGGTGACGACGATGTGATGGTGACGATGTTGATGATGATGATGAAGAAGATGATGATGATGGTGATGATGATGAAGAAGATGAGGATGGTAATGATGGTAATGACGACGATGTGATGGTGACGATGATGATGAAGAAGATGATGATGATGGTAATGAAGAAGATGATGATGGTGGTAATGAAGAAGATGATGATGGTGGTAATGAAGAAGATGATGATGGTGACGATGCTGCTGATGATGAAGAAGATGATGATAATGACGATGATGATGACGATGAAAGTAACAAATACCCCCAATAACACCACACCGCCTACGTGTTTTTCTTAAAATAAAAACCCATAAAACTACAATTAAAATTGCAATAACGTTAAAAATAATAAATAATAATAATAATACTAATAATAATAATTAATAATAATAATTAAAAATAAATCATAATAATAAAGATATATTCCTTAGATATGCGACACCTATCCCAGCTTCATATACGTCCCATCCACATCTTCAACTCCGATGCTGATTAGCAGCGCCCGGTTCAGGAGTAGAGGTCGCTTGCCAGTTCTGTCCTATTTGCATAGGTTCAATCAGGTATTTCCTGCCTGTGTGTGTTTGTGCGTGTGTGTTTGTGTGTGAGAGTGTTTGTATGTGTGTGTTTGTGCGTGTGTGAGTGTGTGTTTGTGTGTGGGTGTGGAGTGTGTGTTTGTGTGTGAGTGAGTGATGAGTGAGTGAGTGAGTGAGTGAGTGAGTGAGTGAGTGAGTGAGTGAGTGAGTGAGTAAGTGAGTAAGTGAGTAAGTGAGTGAGTGTGTAATCTGATTTTTTTTTAAGTAGTTAATTTGTGTTGTCTTATCTGTAGTATTTCATCCAGGTATTTTGTAAGTGCGTATTTATAAGTGCTATCTCTATGGTGTTTTTGTGTGTGTGTGGGTGTTTGTTTGTACACCTATATACACACACGCACCAACATACAAACACACACGCGCACACGTACACACCACAGGCTTCAATCTGCCGCTGTAGTCAGCCCTTAGTCGGTTTCAGTGCCAGGTGTCTGGAGGACGAGGCACTCTTCCAGTCTATCAGGAAGACTAACCCTACATCCAAATATCTTTGTGTTGTTGATACCAGACCTAAGGTTGGTTCTCTCTTTCTCTCTCTCTTTCTCTCTCTCTCTCTCTCTCTCTCTCTCTCTCATTCTCTTTCTTTCTCTCGTCTTTCTTCACTTCTCTTTCTTTCTATCTTCCTCACTCTTCTTTTTTTCCACTCTCTCCATCCATCACTCATCACTCCATCCAGATAAACGCTCTGGCCAATAGGGCTCAGGGCAAGGGCTACGAGAGCGAGGCCTTTTACAGCAGCGTGAAGTTCCAATTCTTCAGCATCGAGAACATTCACGTCATGAGGAGCAGTCTGCAGAAGCTTGTGGAAGGTTCCCTGATGGTGATGATGATCGTTGTGATGATAATCGTGGTGATGATGATGATGATGATGGGGAGGTAATGATGATGATGACGACGATGATGATCGTGGTGGTGATGATGATGATGATGATCGTGGTGATGGCGATGATGGGGATGGTAATGATGATGATGGTGATGAGAAGAAGGAGGAAGATGAGGATGATGAGAATGTGACGGTGTTCATTAGACAGATTTCTCTGGATTGTTCATTCGATATATTTTTTAATCAATCTGTCCATCAAATTTATTCATCACCAGATGAAGCAATCAATCAATCATTCAATCATTTGTTTATTCATTCAATCAGTCGATCGATCGATCAATCATTTGTTTATTCATTCAATCAGTCAATCGTACAACCAACCAATCAATCAATTGATCAATCATTTGTTTATTCATTCAATCAGTCAATCGTACAACCAACCAACCAATTGATCGATCAATCATTTGTTTATTCATTCAATCAGTCAATCGTACAACCAACCAACCAATCGATCAATCAACAAACCAGTCTGTGAGCAGCAGAATCCATCCATGTCGTCATTCCTCAATGGCTTGGAGTCCAGTGGCTGGCTGAAGCACATCAAATCAATCATAGATACGTCGGTCTTTGTTGCCAATGTCAGTTGGTTGATTGATTGATTGGTTGGTGGATTGGTTGGTTGATTGATTGATTGATTGATTGATTGATCGATCGATCGATCGATTGATTGATTGATTGATTGATTAATTGAAAAAATTAAAATTACTGTATATTCATTGAATAAATTTCATAGGACATACTAAACAAACAGTCAATCAATCATTCATTAAACCAATCAATCAATCATTCAATCAATCATTCATTAAACCAATCAATCAATCATTCAATCAACCAGTCAATCAATCGATCAACCAACCAGTCAATCAATCGATCAGCCAACCAATCAACCAACCAGTCAGTCAATCGACCAACCCACAAACCAACCAACAACAGACGATCATAGATGGCATTAGTGTCGTAATACATTGCAGCGATGGCTGGGACCGTACTTCGCAAGTTTCGTCTCTATCTTCACTGATGTTGGACCCCTACTATAGGACAATTGAAGGATTTCAGGTTCTGCTTGGGGATCGATTGGTAGACTGATTGGTTGACCGATTGGTTGGCTGATTGAAGGATTGATTGATTCATTTTATCATTCATTCGTTCATTCATTCATTCATTCGTCCATTCATTCATTTGATTAGATATAGTATAATCTGAGAAGTATTTTTACAATTCATCAGTACTACAATTTACTATTTATTTAATTAATCTCAACAAATTAAACAAAAATCTATTCTAGCGTAACTTCTCACAACACCCTCATTAACATAATTTATGCTAATCATGAAACTTGAGCCCTCCCCTTTTTCAAATCTGGTCAATTGTGATTGGCCGGCAGGTCTTGATTGAGAAGGAGTGGCTGGCGTTCGGCCACAAATTCACGGAGAGGTGCGCTTTTACTGAAGCCACTGACGCCAAAGAGGTCTGATGGTGGCCGACTTAATTATAATATTTATTCCATCATTTCTTCATTTAATCGTTCATTCATTCCATATTCTTTTATAATTTCATCTTTCTCTCTCTCTCTCTCTCTCTTTCTCTCTCTCTCTCCTGTTTTTCTCTTTCTCTCTAATTTCCTTTTATATCTCTCTCTACTTTATTATCTATCTCTCTAGATAAACGCGCTCTGGTCAATAGGTCAAAAGTGACTTTTCATTCATTCATTCACTCATTCATTCACTCATTCATACATTCATTCATTCATACATTCATTTATTTATTTATTCACACCACCATTATTCGTTTACCATTTATACCATCGACTATTCTTCCATTCATTCCTGTCGTTATTCATTCATTTCATCCATTCAATCATTCATTTTTTCATCCAAACATTCATTCAACCATAATTCATTCATTCATCCATTCATTCAACCATAATTCACTCATTCATCTATTCATCTAGCCATTCATTCAACCATAATTCATTCATTCAAGTATAATTCATTCATTCAACCATAATTCATTTATTCAACCATAATTCATTCATCCGACCATAATTCATCCATTCAACCATATTTCATTCATTCAACCATAATTCATCCATTCATTCAATTACTCATTCATTCATACTCATTCATTCATTCAACCATAATTCATCCATTCATTCATCCATTCCATTCATTTACTCATTCATTCATTTTAGAATGTATCAGATATGTTAAGCGATTTTTGTCATTGAGTCGGTTTACATTTGTACATCTAATTTTTTATTTTATATTTGTTTTATAGCGATCAGACTTAATTGTCCTAAGAAGAAAATTACTAAACTTCTCTGCTGCTTTTACATTTTTCTCATTTCAACTCGTTTTTCATCATATCAACTAAAAAAAAGCGCTTTTTTGAAATAATGAA